AATTGAGCATCGTTGCAACGCCACAGCCTACCTGAGTATTGTTGCTGACCATGTCCATCCCTTTATGACCACAAAACCGTTACTAGCGTGGTGTACCTAATAAAGTGGCCGGTGAGTATATATCTGGGTATTATCGGCGTAACAATGAAAAATGATATCAAATTTCCTAAGTATAGAGCAGAGTGGGAGCAGGTACAGCGTGAAGAGGAGGGGTCCTAAAACTGCGGGACCCCACAGAGCAGAAGAGGACAYACTTTCACCAAGATGAACACAGAAAGTACGCCCAACTAGATAGGACCTAAACCAGTCTAGAGCTGTCCCACCAATGCCCCCCAAGTGCTCCAAACGATGAATTAAGATCCTATGGTCCAYACTCCTTAGGTTCAGCTGTGTTGAACCAGGGCAGCACCTAAAACATGCAGGACACCGGCCYTTGAGGACCAACTTTGGACACCACTGTTTTACATCAAACACCATTCACAAGTGGAAGACTCCTCTTCAAGAAGGATGAACAGAAAAAGAGTTCTGTTTGATGCCATAGAAAGAGTTTTGTGCCATAATACTGGTTTTTAGATTGACACAGTCTTGATTTATTAGGGTCTATTAAGGTCTTGTGAGATTCTACATATTTCAAGAAAGCAACAATTTGAAGGAAAACTTGTTTAAATCAACGTAATTGTACCTTCAAAGGTGGAGTGGAAAAGTCCAGTGTTCTGCRAGCTTTTTCCGAGCCTGATGAGCTCTGATGTGAGCGAGGTGGAGTCTGAAAGACTGCAGAGAATTAAGACAGTCTGTCACAAACAAAGCTGCTTTAAATATTTTCTGCATGGTTCTTTAACTACCATCAGGATTTGATTCACAAAGTAGACACTCACGTGTTTTCTTTGAGTCTTCAAATGGAGTTTTTGTGGTTGGAGGAATYATCGTAAAGATCTGGGATTGGGGCATCAAATTCACCTGCTGAGGAAAAGTGGAAAGTTCTTAATAATGCCACCTAGTTTTAGATCAAATTTCTAACAAACAGGTTTAAATTAGTTAACATTTAAAAACCAAAGGCCAWAAATCTGTTGTACCTGTTTATGAAAGCTAAATTCAGGAGCTTTAGAGGTTTTGGACAAATTTGCATCCATTTGTAGAGCTTGCTGCTCAACTTTAAACACTGTGGGAAAAAATGTTCATTTACAATTTAAACAGTTTATTCTTGCTTTTTGTTGGGTGCTGTGGTAATAGATTTGTCACCTGAGGTTTGTGTGTTGGGAGGGACCATCAAAGTGGTAAAGATCTTAGACGGTGGTCTGATATCGAGATTCTAAAGAAAAGTAGACGGTCAAATTTGTTACACATGTTAAAACAGACATATCGTGCAAAATCTGCTTTTTTAGCCATTGAATGCAGAAAAGTTTCATTTAGTTTCTCCCAGTGCTACACTGATATCTTTATATTCTGTTTGGTTATATGTTTCAACTTGTTCAGTTACGCATTTTGAACAATGTCTCAGTTTTTGTTGCAGAACTGATAAGGTTATGGACTTCTGGTTAACAAATTTCGTGAATTGTGGTTTTGCAGGTTYGTTGTCTTCATTCTCCTCTGGCTCTTGGTCAGACTCTGGCTCCAACACATGAGGCTGGAGCCAGTGTCTTTGTTGACATTGTTTAATTAATTTGTCTAAAAAATGATTCTACGCCACTAGAAACCCGTATATTTGCTATCAAACTATCAAAATGGCCATACAGGATGGAATGGACGTAGATCATTGGTAGTTAGACATGAAGGTGTTGGGGGTGGTGACTCATTTGCATTTAAAGAGACAGCACTGTATACTCTATACTGTATATGTATATTCAACATATATCTCTGTTAAGATGCAGGGAAAAGTTATTTGAAGATTTTCCTTTTATTTCATATTTCATGTTTGTAATCCATTTGTAACCTGTTTTATATTCCACTGATCAGTGGAGAAAAGACTCCCTGGAACTTCAGCTCGCCGAATCGTTCAAATGTTATTGTTCAACTGATTTGTTTGATTGCATTGGAAATTGATGTTTGTGACTTAATGTGTTAATCATTGAATATGAGTGCAAAACTAATAAAATAAAGTCTTTGTTCAAAAAATATATAAAGAGACAGCACTAAAATGAGTTACTCTCAGACACACCTCAGAACAGGGGTGAACATACATGTCAAGTTGAACGGAGTGTCCGTAAATTACATGGATTTCTCCTCATTTTGCATGAATACAGACATATCTTGCATTTAAAAAAAAAACTTTGCTTCAAATTTTTTAAGTCTCAGAGCCAGCAGGCTGTAAGGAAAAAAGTTTGCCACCTCCTTGGCCTCCTGTCCCTGCTTCTGTGTTGCTGCAAACCCTTTCACCTCTACCTCTCCATGGCTGAGACAGTTAGCTTGTTTGCTCCAACCCTCCCTCCCCTTTGTATTGTGTGGGAGTGCTAGAGATTTTTTGTGAAAATTACAAATTTCTCAGGGTCAAGATACAGATAAATGTCCAAAGTGGTCAACATGTWTGGGTGAAAGAGGTGCTTGTAGAGTTACAAAAACAAGRAATTCAGAGTAAAGCAGTGCACCTCCAGTTTACATAGACCACAACTGAATGATTTAAATTAGAAAAAGGAGGATTTAAAACCATAGCTACATTCACACTGCAGGTCTTAATGCTCAGTTCTGATTTTTTGAAAAAAATCCGATCTTTTTGTGTGAACGTTCACATTACATTTTAAATGTGACCTGYATCAGACCCCTGTGTGAACGCTACACAGCACTGATGTGACACGCATGCGCAGTAAAAGACGTGACGTCTCATCAGCCGGCTTGTTTGTTTACAGAGCTAGCATGGATGCTACATATTACACATCGAATCTGAAGTTGTTTTTTAATCAGAGCCGATTAAATAATTATCTGACCTGCTTTTTTAGTTCAGTGTTTATATCTGAACCTGCCTCTGACTGGGATGCTCCAGTGAAGCTTTTTTTAATGAAACTACGAGCTGGAAAAAAGTATCGACCGAGTAGCTAACTTTAGGATCGATACTCTCCGCGACCCAGGCTGGACATAGTTATTATCATACTAATGAAAAGTAAAAAGATGAAGCATCTGGACTTGTGTTTTGGAGCTGTAAACACACGGAGCTGCAGATTTAAACAGCGAGACTTGAGGTTAGTGTCTTATCGATCCTTCACCCCCTCCTCCTGATGAAAAAGTCAGATGAATGTGACATGAGCGTTCACACTGCAGTCACTTTGAAAACATCAGATATATATCCGATTTAAAACCACATACTGAAACGGCCTGGGTCGGATTTGAAAAAATCGGATTTGTCTTGTTCAGACTGTCATAAAAAAATTGGATATGAGTCAGATGGGTCAAAAAAATCGGATTTGGGTCAGATTTGCCTGCAGTGTGAACGTAGCCCATGATATCTCCACTTTAAAAACTAATTTAAAAAAATCTAAAGATTTAAATCCATCTGTCGTACCTGTGGACCAAAGATTGAACCAGGAGCGCTCTGGTTTTTGTCCAAGTTTCGGTCCATTTGTAGAGCTTGTTGGTTAGTTTGGTCCACTGTTAAGGACAGAAAATGGTTCAAAAAACTTAAAGCAGCTTCTATTTTCCCTGGTTGTCTCCTGTTATGAATCAACTGTAATGATGCATACGTGGTTTGAATATTTCCAGTCCTGGGGCTTGTTGAGGTGCAGGGTCTATTTGAGTGAGGCGCTTAGAAGAACCAAGGGGTTTCTGTAAGAGAGAGGAGAAAGATAATTTAGTCAAATGAAACTCCTACATCTGCAGGATCTCAGTTACRTTTGATCTTTTAGAAGTTTTATGTCCAAATGTGATTATACCTCCTYTTTATCTGAAGTGCTCAGAATTGGAATAATGTTCTTTTCATCATATTCTCCCCAGTGACTCTTGAAGAGTAAGTGTTGACTCTCTGAGATAAAAGTTCACATTGTCACAAGTTACCACAAAATACACAATAATAACTATCTGTGGTGAAACAGAGTGCTGACTGACCGGAGTTTAGAGCAGTCTTGAAGAAGTCAATGAAAGGATCGAGTGGACCTGGAGGTGGTAAAATGGCAATTTTTGGAAAGTAATGGAATTGTTCGCTYTCAGGAATAGTCATTCCCTTTGGTGTGCATCCCATCTTCCCCTGGTGAGTCCTCAGGCCCTGGTAAGTTGTCATTTTGGACCAACCGCAGAAGCAAGTTTGGAGGCTTTTGTTGGACATGGTGAGTTTCTAAGGAAGATGGGATAGTGTGAATATGGTATGGATCACAGTAGGTAACACAAAAATAATAAACTTTACCAACTGTTGAGAATGAAATACAGAAGAATGTTTTAGTTTGTGTGTTTGTAMAAACAGAAAAAGCAAAATGAGTGTGAGCTTTATGGTGGCATCAGCTGTTTATCAGGTCATCTTATCACTCATGTTAAGAACATTTTGGATAACTTTATTGTTGATTAAAAGTAACCCCATTTATGCTTTTAGCTGAACTGAAAAAAAAATCTATCACATCATGTTTTGGCAACRCCAATCTGTATATGTTAGGATGGCCATTTGCCGTCCTCTGGTGGTATTTTATGTGTATCAYAGCATGGATTCATTCTTTTGACAAATTAAAATTCATCAAACCAGTCAGAAAAGTAATAAAAAAGGGGTCACTTTGTGACCAGTGGTGTTGATGAAGATTTAATTTTTTTTTATTAAATATACTTCATGAACTGATTACCATCTCTATAAAAGCAAGAGTTTTGTCAGTTTGATGCTYTGGTGCACACAGGTGYGTTAACACAATAACAAGGTGRGAAGACATCAACRATGACCTCAGTGAAGCAACTATTGCTTCCCAGTGGTCTGGAAATGGTAAATGGACTGYACTTATATAGCGCCTTTCTATCCAACCAGGATACTCAGTGTGCTTTACACTACCCACACAGCACTCTACTAGATCTCTCTTCAAAGCTAACAYGTACAAATCAATCTGTAGAGACTAATCAGTGCTTTAAATCACTCATACACTAATGGGACACACATCACAGGCAGTRGGGGTGAAGTACCTTGTCCAAGGACASTTCAATATGAAACTGAATAGCAATGAAAACTATCATGGAATAATAATGTWTATCTGTTTTACCTTGACACTGTCCAGTAATCATATCTCATGTGATAACTAGTTTTGGCTGTTTTAATCTATCAGCCCAGACTTAAAGACTCCAGCAATGCACGACCCATTTTATTTTGATAAGGTGTTTCCGGGGCTGACAGCCTTGTTATTGGTTAGATGGTTACAGTTGGCGAAAGGTGATTGGTTGTAAACATGCCACAGGATGTTATATTATCGGCTGTTCTGCACTAACACGCCAGCCACAAATGATTGCTCAAATTAAATCATTTGACGACCTCTCCTTGGGCTGCTACCTTATCGTGGTGGAGGGGTTTGAGTGTCCCAATGATCCTAGGAGCTATGC